TTAAATCAAATCTTCCATATTCAGATTTGTTACTAGGGGTAGGTATGGCAAATGGATGATCTTTATTCATTATGTATGTTTTCTAGAGTTTTAGATTGACAGGTTCCTAGTCTTCTTAAGTATATTGATATAGTTGGTTTGTGGTTGTAAAGGTATGTATCGATCAGATACACTCAAGTATAAATAACAAGAAAAAACAAACAAACAAAGATTAAATAGAAAACTAAAGAAAATGCATAATTACAAAGATATATTCCACCAAGAAAGGGGTGTTCTCACCAAGAGAATGATGGTCACAAAGAGGGTCAGCAAGACTTACACTAGGGTTTCACCCTAATGTTGAATTTATACAAAACTATTCTAGTGAATCACTTCAATCAAGGGATTATATATAATCTATAATAAGAACCGATCATTATCACCACGATATTGGATCTTGTATCTATTATATATTTACAGATAACTGCCTAATATTCAAATATTACATAAGATCATTATCTTCATGCTAACACTGATAAGGTCTTGAGGCACTGACGTTGGTGCTGATGGTGATGTTGGCACTGGCATTGGTGGTCAACGTATAAAGTGTTTGACTCATCAGATCATAAGGTGTGACCTTACAATCTCTCCCTATCTGATGATCTCAAAACTAATCTTCAATGAATTTTTCAGCTTGTGCTCCCCTAAGAGTAAGATTGAAAGTTTACCAACCATATGCTTTTTATTGGTCATAGTGAAACCTTCTGGTTGTTTCATGTAACCTTCCTCATCAGGATCATCATTTAAAAGGGCTGTTTTCACATCCATTTGGTGAATAACCAGATTATGGATACTTGCCAATGCAATCAACAATCTAATAGTATAAATACGTGCAACCGGAGCATACGTATCAAAATAGTAAACACTAGGTTTTTGTCTAAAACCTTGAATAACTAATAGAGCTTTGAATTTATCAATAGTCCCATTAATATTCATTTTCTTTTTGAAAATCCATTTGCAACCATGTGGTTTAGAGCCTGGAGGCAAATCAGACAACACCCATTTGTTGTTCTCAAGAATTGATGACATTTCTTCATCAACTGCTTCCTTCCAAAAGACACTATCATGAGACTCCATGGCCTCTCGATATGTCTTAGTATCATCTTCAATACTATAGAAATAAGAGTATTCAAGATTAATTTCATCCCTTAAACCTTCCACCAAATACAGTTGGAAGTCGGATCCGAAATTTTTTGTAGTTTTCTCTCTTTTGCTTCTACAAAGCTCTTGTGGTTCTTTCATATTACCACCATCTTGAATTTATGAATTTTTCACCTTAGTACCGAAACTCAGATCCTTATGCCTTTAAATCAACGAAAAACGTCTCTCATCAAAAATTGCATCCCGTGATTCGATAACAGTGTTAATCGAAACTGAATCATTAGGTTCTATTAGATAAAACCTATATGCCTTGGAATGTTCAGCATATATAATGAATATACAATCAATTCCATGTTCTCCTAGAATTTCCTTTTTGGGCTCGGTGAGTTTTACAACTACCCGACATCCCCAAACCCGAAAATAACTTAGATTCGACTTTTTCTTGAACCAAAGTTCATATGTGATCGTTTTGTTCCTTTTATTTGGAACCCTATTTAATAAATACCAGGCCGTTAACATGGCCTCTCCCAAGAATCCATCACTCAATCCTGAGTATGACAACATCGAGTTTACAATTTCCATTAAAATTCGACTTTTGTGATCAGCAATACCATTATGTTGGGGTGTGTAAAGGTGTCGTGGTCTCATGAATGATACACACTAATTGGAAGTATATGGGATCCATATATTCACCTCCCCTATCAGTCCTAAGACATTTAACCAGCTTTCTCAATTGCAATTCCACATCGGTTTTATATATTTTGAATTTATCTAAGGTTTCGTCCTTGGAATGTAACAAATACACATAGAAAAACCGAGCGCAATCATCAATGAAAGTGACTACATAGTTTTTAATTCCTAAAAGAGTGGAGTTAAAATCTCACAGGTCACTGTGTACAAGTTCCAAAACAGCTGAATTTCTAGTGACACTAGGAAAGGGCTATTTTGTCACTTTTTGTAAGCATGCGTGTTTTACATTTATTAGATGTCATATCAAAGGCTAGAATTAATCCATCACATGCATCCTTCTGAAGTTGACATGACCTAATCTTACATGTCAAAGCATAGATTTATCAACATTAGAAGCAGAAGATACAAATGCGGAATTTTGAACAGGTAATAATTTGTCAACAATATTCAAACAAAACATTCTATTATTTAAATATCCAAAGCCAACAAACATTCCACCATTAGATAAAATAAACTTATCCTACTCAATAACTTCTTTAAAACCATCAGAATTCAAACAACTAGAACTAACAAGATTCTTGCGAATCCTAGGAACAAACAAAACATCAAAAAGCTAAATTGTCTTTCCTGAAGTAAATTCAAGACAGACGACGACAACACCACAAATATGAATAAAAGAGTCATCTGCCATTTTCAACACCAACCCATCTTCAAGTAGAGTTAATGTTTCAAACATCTGTTTATCATTGCATACATGGTTCGTTTCCCGGGCGTCTATCCACCAAGCAACATCATAATCCAATAAATAGAATGATTGAGGAATTAATGAAATATAGTAAACATAATTTTGATTAGAATCATCAAAGTTAGTCAAAAACTGACCTCCTGTAACTTGGGCCGAAGACCCGTTCACCTTCCCATTGGCTCCACTGTTTCCAGCACCATTGTTGTCGAAGTTCACACGACAATTACGCTTGCAATGCCCAACCTAATTGCACCTCAAACAAATCAGATCCTTTCTCTTTTTTTTGTTGGAGTTGCTTGGGACATGTTCATGATTACGTTGTGGTTCTGATTTCTTGGTTTGTTTTTTAGCATATGAACTGAGGGTTGTCTAGATTTAACTTTCCCTTTAGATTTATCAGATTTTTCACTTTCCTTCGTACGAAGAGATTCTTTAGTACGAATACGACTCGCAAGTTAAACCAAAGACAGTTCCTCCTTTTGATGTTTTAAGTTATGTTTGAAGCCTTTCCAGGATGGAGGAAGTTTTCCAATGATGCTTGACACAACAATGGATTCATCCATATTCATACGGTGCAGTTTAAACTAACCATATATGCCATAGAGTTCATTGTGGTGTTTAGTGATAGACCTTGAATCGTCCATCATAAGATTATTATAATCACTAACCAGGAACTTCTTGCTAGAAGCATCCTCAGTGATGTATTTTAATTCAAGGGTATCCCACAACTCCCTGGCACACTAGACTTCACTATGGATATCAAATAAGCACAAGACATACCGTTCGGAATGTGACCTTTACAAACGTAGTCATCGTTGCCCCACTTTTGTCTCCTCCTTATCTCTTCAATTGTCTTAGTAGCACCTTCCTCAACCCCCGATGGTCTTGGAGTAGTCAGCACATATGCTACCTTCAGCGTAGTCAACATGAAGTGCATCTTCTTCTTCCAATGCTTAAAATTAATGCCTTTGAACTTCTCCAGCTTTGCAAAGTTCATGGTCATCTCGCAGATTAAGTCTTCCATCTACAGAAACAGGAAGTATCAGTTTGAATGTTAGAGGAAATAAGGTTTACGTTAGAGATCTGGATACCACTTGGATCGTGTGAACACTTTCCGAACTGTTTTTTTTACCTTATGTCTAGGTTGCAAGAAATTCAGTCTAGGATAATCCAAGAGGACACATACGATTCTAGGCACTGAAATCGTAAGCCAAATTACTAGAAGGATTTTGTGTTTGGTTGAAGAAAACGAGTGCTAATAATTTTCATGCCTTCTTTCTCAAAGAGAAGATCCGTTTATATATAATAAACGAGATGTAGGGTTTCAATATTATGGTTGTCTATCATCTGTCTCTTTGGAAACAAATCAGGAGTATCCAAATTAATGAGGAAACAAATCAAGTGAATCTAAATTAATGAGAAACAAATCCGAAATTAATGAGAAAATCAATGGTTGTCAAAATTCATGAAATTTGTCAAATTTACCATAATTACCAATCTTCTAAATTAGTTAGGGGAATTATAAATTTAATGGCATAATTAATGTTTACCAAAATTGATAAGATTTATCAAATTTATCATAACAACGTATTAGAATTCGATTTTTTCATAATATAACTAGTTCAAATTTCCGAAGACCTTTTTAGGGTGTTATCCCTAAACCCTACGTTTCTGTCGTACCAGCTTATAATTCGATCTTATACATGCATGTACTTTGCACAAACCCATACATATATCAGAGCACAAATTATGAAATCCCTTAGCTCACATGTTAGTTCTAATTGCATAAAATGACATGGTGACACTAAAGTCATCAACAGATAGCTATAGGCCATAAACCAAGAAAACCAATCTATTCTAATAAATGAAAGTTTTTTATATCATTTGCTTCACTCTCATTTAATTTGTCAAATGTCATTTTGTGATTGTTTTGAATTAATTTTTTTTTCTCATGTCATTTTATAAGTTTTTCTATTTATTAAAATTTCACATAATATTTTGATATAATAGTTACAATAAATATAGTAATAAATGGATACAAATATCATTAATGAACATACATTTTAATTTCAAAATTTTCAAAATTAAAACTCATTAGCTTTTTTTGTTTATTTATTTAAATTTAAAAGATAAAAATCATTTTCATTATAATAATTCATTATTTTTATATTTTCTTATAAATTCAAAGTTCTTAAATACTTAGACTTTTATATTTAATTTTTTTTTTAAATTAACATATTTAATATATAGATCTCACTATTTATAATTATCATACCACCTAAACGTATGACTGCATATCATTCTTCGTGACTCTAAATCTAACAATTGGGGAGGAGAATTCTATTATGGAGGTGTGATCATGTCAGAAAACAACAATTTATATTTTTGTTCAAGAAAAAAAAAAGTATTTGACACGGCCTCTATTGGCCCTTCCATGATACCATAATCAAGCTTAAACCTAAACGTGTTTCTATCATTCCCCTGCCCAAAATGTAAGAACTTCAGGAGGAGATGATTGTTGTGACTAATCGAAAAACTAGTTATCTTAACATCATAAATTCCTCTGAACCCTAGCTACTGAATAATAATCTTGTTGCCTGAAATCTAGGAAAAACAATGTTCGATGGTTAAATTGGTGGGATTTCAAAAACTATGAACTACAGCGTCACGAAACGTTCCAACAATCAATATATGGATGAAAAACGTTTGTGGCAACAAAATGGAATGTCTCTGAGATTGATGAGCATAGCGATACAAAATCGGCAATCTTGATGAATTCACTCATTCAAATATATTTATATATCTAACTGATTTTTGTGGACAGGTTTTGATCCGCGCGGAAGATAGTCTAGAATTCCCTTGTGAAACTAATTATAATTATAACCGAAAGCAACCGATTGAAGGTCTTGATCACCATGATCTCTAAAACCCCATTGCTGCTGGTTGCTGCTTATTTGCATGTCCAAAGAATCAATGGAGTAACTTGAACCTTCTTCAAAGCTCGAAAATGAACCTTCTTCCTCTTTCAGAAGCGAATTCTCATAGTTCTCCGCCATGGACTTGAAGTCCATGACATCGTTCATGGATCTTGGATCGAACTGAGGCATGTTCATGCATGAATTTCCTGATTGTTGAAACCAATTCTTCATGTCTTGCGTTTGTTGGTAAGAAGGGTGTGTTCCATTGGTGGGGTTATTGTTATCTGAATACATGGGCACATTAAGTGATCTTTGAGAGGCTTGTTCCCTTAAAGAAGTCAACTGTGATTGTAAACTAACCACCTGAAAAATCAAAAATAAATAAGAATTGGCATCAAAATTAGCTATATAATCAAGATCAAGATTAGGGTTTTCAGTTTAATTATTTTCCATGTATACGATTAGGGTTTTCATTTGGGAGCAATCAATATCAAGATAAGGGTTTTCAAGCCATTAAAGAGGATCAAAAATCATAAATTACAACTTTTTTCATTGAAGTCGTAAAAATTCTCCCTCCTTCATGGATTTTCCTTACTCAACTAAGAATTACAAACCTGTTGTTGTAGTGCGAAAATATGGGAAACACAGCCATAAATGGGATCTTGAATCCGAGCTTGAGCTTCATAAGCAATAGTAACCGCAGCTTCTGAACGATCACCAACAGGCAGATGAGCAAGAAGCTTAGACACATTACTTGCACCAAAAACCCTATGAATGGCTGCAAAATGTGTAGCACCTTGTTCATGGCAAAAATAAGGTGCAAACACACAACCCTTTATACATTTTCTTCTCAAGAACTTGCAGGCACCACACGGAGAACCTGATCCTGTCATCAGAATTCAATCTTTTTTGGAAAAAAATTAAGTTCTTGATGTTGAATTTTAAAAGGGCTTAATTTGTTTGTGTTTGATGTTGGTGAAAGTGTTATGATCACCATGTTTTTATATAAGAAGAGGAAGGGGATGAAGGTATTGCAACGAATAAATTAATTGCAAATTGTTCCCTTGATGGCCTACAGTTTTTATTTGTTTTCTTATTTATATTTGTGATTGGAAAAAAGATTTTTCAATATTAAACCCACAAGCAAAGTACCAAACCCTTTAGTTAATTAATTAAATTTCTTTTGTGAATTTGTTAATTTTGTGATTCCATTTTAAGCACTTAACAGACAAAATAGAACCCCCCCCACACACACACACTACCACGCTCTTTCTAATTATTTGCTCATTCGATATTTCTAAAAGCTAACCTTACCTTTTTTTAACGTACATATAAGTATATAAACGCATTGGAAACATATTTTAATTTAAATTAGGAAAATGTGTCAATCTGAAGACGCAAATTGCATAATTATTATTTTATACAAATTGTAACTTGTAAAGCTGGTGCTGCTTTGAATTTTGTAATCCTATCATGAACCAAATCCAAAACCATTATGAACCAAAATTTGTTTATGGATAATATGATTAAAATTTAAAATAATATGATACGATTTAAAATTACACCATTCAAAATTTAATGATTCAAATATGATTTGGTTCAAAAATATTTTGATGATTAATATTTTATGGTTATTATGATTCAAAAATATTAATTAATGAGCATTAAACTAATTTATAATATATCATCATATCATATTCTTAAAATGTATACATGATATCTTTAATTCATCGTTTAATTTGGAGAACTTGTCAGAAACTCGAATACATGGTGGTTTTATGTATTAGTAACATATGAAAGATGATATAAAATGTGGTTCTTGAGTATATCCAATGGTCTATTAAGCTCCTATTTGCCTCTTGCGAGGAAGGAAACAAAAAAAAAAAATATTGTGTGAAGTTTATTAAGACATTTTTTTTCAATATATATTAGAACATCTAGGAATTATGGCAGCGGTGCGCCAAACATGGGTTTTGCAGTTCCAGATTCTCAATCAAGATAGCCTTTATGTATGTTACCCAAAACCCGAAACTATTATGGTGTCTTGAACTCTTGATTACCTTCCTTACTTGGAATAATTTGAGAATGCAAAATGCATACTCAAGAAATTTTAACCCCAAAGGATAAGAGTATAGTTTGCAAACTCGTCTTGTATTGAATCATATATAATAATAACTAGAAAGGTTACCCCCATTACGCGGATGCCAAAAGTTTTCAATGTTGTTTCCGAATCGATAAATATGACAGACGTAGAAAGTGCAAGAATGAAAAGCCCGGGCTTTACCCGAGACCGTTTTTTTCATGTTTTTATGAAAAAATGTAAAAGTTTTGACTGTAAGGATCAGAAGTGTCAAAACGGATAAAGAATTAAAGAGGTAGGAATTATCAAATTTTTAAAAAAATGATCAAAGTTATCAAACCGTTCACGTTTTGTGACCAAACTTTAAATATTAAAAGATTCCTAAAAAAATATAAAGATATTGATTGCAATGACCAAAAATATCAAAATAAGTAAAAACAAATGAGCAAAGTGCATGGACCAAATTTGCTAAAAAAAATAATAAGTTTATTATTCCTTTTATGGAGAACTTTAATATATAGATATAATATTTGATTCCTTGTGTTCATCAAACACTTCATTACATGTGGTGCTACAGGAGGAATGGACTACGAGATAAGTGTTACTATTTGATAAATAAAATCAAAGCTCTCAACTTAAATACTCACCTTCAGGATTTAGTCAAATGGCTTTTAGAATCTTACCAAGTTGTTGTGCTACTCCATTATGGGAACATCTTGAACTATTCAAAATGTTTCATGTCCATTCCTAAAGAATTTAGAAAAAAACAACATTTGCTATATATAAATTCACACAAAGTGTTTTCATGGTTTTGTTGGAAATTCCTATATTCAAAAGGTTCCATGTTCATTCCTTTAATTTTTTTCTTTTATTTTAATAATTTTTGCTCTATAAACATTCAACCTTTTCTAGAAATTCCTAAAATCTCCGTAAATATTTACCAAAATATCATAACATCTTGCAATTGTTTGAGTATAAAATTTATTAAATCTCAACCACTGATTTTTTTCAATCTCATAACTAAGAGTTGTCATCACAGTTCTTGATTTTTTTGGGTTCCTACCCAATACTCTCTCTCTCTCTCTCTCTCTCTATATATATATATATATATATATATATATATATATATATATATATATATATATATATATATATATATATATATATATTCGTTCAATATGATTACACTAAAAATATTGAACAAGAACACAAGAATATTTAACATGGTTCACTTGATCAAAGTAATAAAGCTATGTCTATGTGTAAACTATATAGATTTTTTATTGATTATCAGATTCTATGCAAAAAACTATGTATTTATTGTGCTGCAAAAAATCGGTCTAGGTGGCTAATAAATAGCTCCTAAACATTTGGTAGCCTTCAACCGCTTACGAACAAGGGTTAGAGGGTTAGGCTAATCGACCTTGGTGAATACCGATCAAATTCAGTCCAAATCGAACTAAATTGGACTAACTCGGACCAAATCGATCCAACTAACCAACCATCTTAAAAGAGCCAGCTAGCCCAACGCATAATTGGGTTTGATTTTTAAAGGACCCATCTCTCCTTTTATAGAATATGTGTGCCTTCTTTTATTATACAACTAGTGATGTGGAATGTCATACTTAATTTGATCAGGTGCAATATATGAACCATCAAATAATTGATTCTCAAAATCATCCATTAAAGTCGATCTAAAACCAATTGCACAACAGAATCACTTAATTAATTTGAAAAGAGACTATGTGATATAATATCATATTGATATAGTGTGAAATAAGAAAGATTAATATCAATTGATAATATATATATATATATATATATATATATATATATATATATATATATATATATATATATATATATATATATATATATCATGAATAAACAACCTTCTTCTTCACTGATAAGAACCACTTCAGTCCATGTTCACTGACTGCGTCACCAAGCACCATACCTTCCTATCAAATATCACCATCTTCGGACTTCTATCACCACTAAAGCTAGTTACTGCATGTATACCTCTTTCAAGAACTTGTTAAGAAACAAAACACAAACGCTTACACATAGCACCAAAACAATCACTTATATCTAACCTAGTAAAAGCTGAGAATCACCACAATAACCTCCTTTGTAACGTCCCAAAAATTATAAGGTAAAAACTTCATTTTTAATTCAACCATAAACACCATTTAGTCATTTCAATCATTCATAAGTATAACAGAGTAAAAATAGTTATCAGAGTATAAATTCCCAAAATCATAAAGTGCGGAAACATGGATGGATACGTTGCAATCAAGTTGGGCCCTTCCCTCTTGAACCAAGTGTACCTAAAAAACACTTTAAACATAAACCATAAGCATGAATCTTAATGAGCTCCCCAAAATACCGCATATTATACATATCTGTCAGACCAAGGCTGTGTCAGGTCTATTTCACCCCCGAGTCTATTTCAACTCATGTGTCAGCCCAAGGCCGTACCGGATCTATTTCACTCCCGAGTCTACTTCAACTCGTATGTCAGCACAAGGTTGTACCGAGTCTATTTCACTCCACATACATATAGCAAACAAGCATACAAGCATACATACATACATATCAGGAGTCACAAAGACAACAAGCACATACAATCCTAGTGTCTTACATTATAGTGAGCAAACTCACATCAGTCTGTTGTCAGTCAAACAAATGCTCAGGTTACCGAACCGGAGAATCCTCGTACTACCCAATTAAATAAAACCCCAATTAATAATTGGGCCAACTATAACCGAAAATCTATGTAACGAACCAATTTTCAAAAGAAAATTTTCATTTTTGATTAACTAAAATACTTTCCACAAACCATGAAATCCCAAATACAATTGTTTTCAAAATTCACATCAAGTACAATTTTATTTCAAATCATTAGAGTATCCCATAAAAGCGCTTGAGAGAGAGTGCTTGTCGTGCCATCAAGCCTTGCCCTTGGGCTCAGATGTACCTGAAACAAATCCACAAATTGTAAGCTAATGTGTAGTCAGTTCCCTAGAGCATACCACACACAATCCATATAAAGACACAATCATATTAGCTATAAAAGCTACATATATCACAACAGCCATGTATACAAACATATTGGGATGTTGTGGGCTCGTCCCCATGGTCTTACTCCACGATGCCATGGGCTACCCACATGGTCTTACACCTAAGTGCCATGAGCTCTCCCAAGGTCTTTAATAAGAAAGCCATGGGCTCTCCACATGGTCTTACATCCTGTTGTCATGAGCTCTCCACATGGTCTTTATTAGGAAAGTCATGGGCTCTCCACATGATCTTACATCCAGGTTCCATGGGCTCTCCCATGGTCTTACATATAAGCATACCACTAGTATACAATACTAGCACATAACCAACTATCATGTCTCATATTATAAGTTCTGGTAGAGTATCACATATCATAAATGGGCCGGCCTTAGTGCCTTCGATCTATTGGTATGGTGAGGAGACTCACCTCTTAAATGCTAAACTGATAAGCTAAAACCAGATATTTCCCACGCACTGCTCCTCTTCAACTGCCTATAATCAACATGTGATTAACTAATCATAATCCCAATAAATACCCTCAAAGTCAACCCTGGTCCGCCCTGGTCAAAGTCATGGTCAACAATCAAGGTCGACAGTCCATGTTAACCTCAACTCGCCGAGTGCATCTAGCAACTCGCCGAGTTCTTCCCGAGTTCATTCCACTGAATACCGATCCAACTCACCAAGTCACCTTTGTAACTCATCGAGTTCATCAAATGTCCAAAAAACCTAAAGTCCACTAAAACCAAAACCCTAATCCTTCACTACAGTCAATCAGAAACTGAAAAATGGGCAAACCTCACCCCAACTTGTTGAGTCGACAAAGGACTCGACGAGTT